ATATATATATATATATAATATAGTATGCATGTGAGATTGTAAGTGCATGTTTTCATGATGTAAAAACAATGAGTGATGTATCAGGTGTGCGACCTTTGACTCAATACTTAGTGTGATACCTTTGACCTTGACCTTTGCAAGCAACGCAAAAGTGCGTATATAAGTTATAACACCACAAACACATATTATGTAATATTAAATATAACGTAGTATGTATATGCGTGCTTTCATGTGATCCTGATATCCCATACACACACACACACACACACGCCAAGCAGTGAAAAAAATACACGGGGGATCGGGGCGATTTAGCCCCGGAAATGCCAAAAAGAGCCCCGGAAATGCCAAAAAGAGCCCCCGGAAATTTGCATAGAGTTCAATGCAAACCAAATTTTAGAGTGCTATTTTCATGCACGCGAGCTTGAAAAGTAGCCCCCGAAAAATAAATTCTAATTTTTTCCCTGACGCCAAGCGTGAGGCAGCTGTTGCCGCGGTAACCACCTTCAGCTGTAGCAGGCGCTCGACGATGGATAGGTGACCTTGACTACAGGCGATGTAGAGAGGAGTCTGGTTGCTATGGTCACGTGCATTCACGTCGAACGGGTACAGAAACTGATACGGTCCCGCGTGATGCAGAAACGGCTGCCACATGTACGCTGAAATCAATCAATCAATCGATCAGTAAATCAGTAAATCAATCAATCAATCAATCAATCAATCAGTGAATCAATCAATCAATCAATCAATCAGTAAATAAGTGAATCAAACGAACAATCAATCAATCAGTAAATCAATCAATCAATCAATATATCAATAAATAAATAAATTAATTCATTACAAAAACAATCAATAAATCAATCACTTAGTCAATTGATCAATCAATCAATCACCATTCACTCAAGCATAAAATTTACATGACTAAATACGCAAACAGATCACACATGCTCTGCACGGGTCAATAAATTAATCAATCGATCGGTAATCGATCGATCAGCGTGCGATGTCTACCTGGGTAAGGGTGTTTCAGCAGCATGTCTAGTATGTCGAGGCGTTTGTTCATGACGGCAGCGTGGATGGGTAACCAGTTCTCCACCGTTGCCACGGTAGCCAGCCCCGGAAACCTCTACAACAACACACACACACAGCTTCATATATAAGACAGGCAGCACACTCTAAACCTCTGTAACACATACACACACACGTGCGTGCGCACGCACGCACGCACGCACGCACGCACGCACGCACGCACACACACAGCTTTATAAGACAGCAGCACACACTAAACCATTTACAAACAAAACAATAACATTTTAAACATAAAATTATAAATATACAGGCTATGTTACATAAATGGGGGCTTATGCCGGGCTTGCGAGCCGACTCGACTGAAAGCAACTGGCTGCAATTCACTGCGACTGCAGTGCTTAGGTCGGTCGACTGTGACGCGACTGCCTGCGACTGGCCGCTACTAGTTGCTGGGAATAGAACAGTGGGCAACTGGACGCAACTAGTCGCTGCTGATCGCTTCCAGTTGCTCGAAATC